GGCAGCATGCTGGGTCCCTCCGGCACCCATAGCTGGTCCCCACCAGGTCAGCGATGCCAGTGCCGGCCGGCACCAGCCAGGATGGCGATGGCAAAGCCAGGGGATGACAAGGACGCCTGTGTGATGCCCCACGCAGCTGGCACGGTGCTGGGGACTCCCCCCACGCCCCCACTGAGCAAAGCTGCTTTGCACCATGTCCCCTTTGCACCTGTGCTGGGTGTGCCACCATCCCACAAGGGCACCACGGCACCTCCCTGAGCACCGCGAGCAGATCAAGCTCCCCTGCCGGGGAAGCCCCCCTGCGCCGGGCCGGCGAGCCACTGCCACGCCACCCTGCCAGTGACGCGGCTGGCACCCATCTGCTCCCACGCACCTGGGACCGGCCCCACGGCCTGTCCTTCGGGGCACTCGCCCTGACTTGGCAAGACCACCGCGGGGGCAATTCATGCCGTGCCAGCGTACCCGCTGTGTCAGGGGTCCGGTAATGCCAGCACCCAGTGGGAAGAAGGCCGGGGTCCTTCATCTTCATCGGCTCACGGAGGAGCGCAGCGCCGCGGTTGACAGCCCCAGAAAGGGGCAGCGGGACAGGGTCCAACCCGGGGTATTAGGAAGGGATTCCTCATCACAAGGGTGGCCAAACCCTGGCAGCGGAGCAACCTCCATCCTTGGAGACCCCGATCTAACGCCAACGTTGGCCATGCTTGGAGCTGGACCAGAAGGTCCAGAGGTCCCATCCAGCCTACATCCCTCTGGGATGAGGATGGTGGTGGAAAAGGAGGGGATTGGCCCCATTTCCAACCCCAGAGAGCAACAGTGCCCTCCCCATCACCCACCCAGCGGGCAGGATCGGGCTCGGGCAGGAGATGGGTCGGGCAGGTGGATGGCCAGAGCCACCCCAGCCCTGCCCGGAGGCGCCTTCCCCACACAGCGAGCACGCAGCCCTGAAAGGGAGAAGGAGAAGGCAGAGGGAGTTGGCAAATAAAAGCCGGGGTCAGTTGACAACACCAGCGAGAGACTGAGTCACTGGGACTGTTTTTAGCCCCGGCATCTCAGAAACGTGGACCATGGCGTTGTTAACAGGCGCTTGGGTCAGAGGCTAAATGTTTTCCCTTCCATGCGTTAAATACCGCTCCTGGAAGCGGCCCAGGTATCCAGCACAGTAAAAATATTAACACAAGTCTTGTATGACAGCAGGACCCCAGCTAAAGTGATCCCCAAACTGCCCAGGTAAGCTCGCCTCGCCGGGGAGGTGTCAGGGAGCCGGCGGAGAGAAAAGCGTCGGTGCCTGGGTACCACGAGCCAGGGCTGAGTGTCCCTTGTCATGGTGTCACCCCCAGGGCAGAATAAATGGGGTCCATAAAAAAGCCCCCTGGTTCTGGTGGTGCCAAGGTATATCCACGAGAGCCCACCTGTGCGTGGCAGCCGTTATGGGGTTAATAATACACAGCCTTGCTCCGATGCCTCTCCTTCACCCCAAAAAAGCCCCTCTGCCCGGCGCGGCACAGCTGGGGGACGGCATGCACTCCATCACCCCAGCCAAGCACAGCGGCTGGAGGCTGGCACCCGCAGGCCAGATCCGGGTGCAGCCCCCGAAGCAGGGCTGGGGGAGGCAGGGGGACCCCTGGGACCCCACCACGGTGGGGCCGGACCCTGGCTCTGCGGCTGCTCCAAATTGGAGCAAAAGCCCTTCCCTCAGGGTGGTTGGCACGGTGCAGGAGCCCTGATTGAAACATCACTGTCCGACTGACCGCCCGGGGAATTCACAGCCCGCCAGCGCAAACAGCCCGAGCCGACAAGTTCCTGCCCTCCCCTCCCGCCCCCCGCCCGACAGCAGCAATTAAAAATAAAAGTGTTAACAGGCAGAAGGACGTTCCTCGGGCGAGGACGAGCCAACGGCAGTGCAGGGGCCGGGGACGCGCCGCGGCCGCAGCCCAGCACCACCCCAGGCTGAGTGGTTAATCAGCCCCGTATCATGTCCGCCTTTCAGCGGGGAGGCGAGGAGAGCCCACCCACCCCAGGCTGAGTGGTTAATCAGCCCCGTATCATGTCCGCCTTTCAGGAGGAGAGGAGCGGGGTGACCTTGGCCTCGGCCGCAAGGACGCGCGGCCGCACCGCGTCCCACTCACCTCGGCAAAGGTCGCGCGCTTGGGAGCGCGCGGGAGAGAGCCGGGAGCGGGGCCCCACGCACAACCCGCGGCCAAAGAGCAAACCCCGTCCTGCTCCAACGCGGGCTGACTCTAAACAACTTGGGTGTTGGTGGGTTTTTTAAATAACTGCATAAATGAGCAATAAGGGGAACCGGCAGGACAGCACCATCCCTGGCCCCCAGCTTAGTTCCAGCAGGGCAGACGCAACACACCACGGCGCTGAGGTTTAGAGGCACCGCGTGCCCCAAAATCCTAGAAACCACCCCGGAAAGTGGGGATGCTCAGCAAAACCAGCCCTTGAGGTCCATGCGCCCCAAGTTCATGGTGCCACTTGCCGCGAGCAGAAGGCGCGAGGTGACAGCGGCCGCCGCCCCGTGCCCCCCCGGCCCCCAGTGTCGGAAGCGCTCCCAGCGCCGCCCCCATCCCTCCTCCCTCCCACCCGCTGCGGCCCCGTGCTGCTGGAAGGAGGTAATATTTATAAATACGCTGCGTCCAGCCCCCAGCGCCCGGCCAGGAGGCTTCTCAGAAGGCAGATTTCATGTAACCGTACCGCAGGCAGCAGCCCCAGCGCCGCGGCCGCCCCATCCATGGGAGCCGCAGCTGTTCCCCGACCCCAAGAATAAACAAGTTGGGGACAGCCTGTGACTTGTCCTCCCAAACAGTCCCGGGGCTCTCCCCGCCACCATCCCGGCCCCGGCAGCACCTCTCATGCCCCGGGGAGCACCCAGCCATCGCTGCTTACCCGCAAAGGAGGAGTTTCTCCTCTCCCCTCCTTTCCCCCAGGCTCAGCCCTCCACTGTCCTGCTCCGTGAAGGTCAAACTTGGCTCTCGGGAGCCCCCGCTGCCAATCCAGCCCCTGCCCTGGCACTGTGCTGGTGCAACCAGTCAGGTCCTCGCTACGAGTGCTGCCGCCTCCCCGGCACGAGTTACGCCGGTTTGACCATGAAGGAGCCCAGAGGTTTTTCCCACCAGGCTGGGCTTCCTCCAGGCAAGATCTTCACCTGCCCTGAGCCTGGAGCGGCCCCCCGAGGAGCGGCTGCGGCGCCGAGAGTGGCACCCACCCTGCTGCAGATAAGGCGGGAGCTACAGCCAGGGCTGAGCCCGCCGGCACCCATCCTCCCCTCCTCCAGTGGGGTTTGCAAGCCGGGAACGGGGAAACGCTCCCTGCATGCCGGGTGGCTGCAGACCCTGCTCCACCAGCCTGACCCGACTGCAGTCCCCTTCTCGTTTCCTCTTAAAAATTCCCCACCCCATGCAATTCCCCTGAAATTCTGGAGAAACGGCCTGGGCGAAAGCCGAAGCTGCTGCCCTCGCTTGTCCCTGAGGCTCCAAAAACTCCCCTGCCCGTCCCCAAGCTCATTGCCAGCCGCTGCCGCCAAGATGTCCCAGCCCGGACCCTGCGTCGGGGAGCACCCGCATTCTCTCCGCTTGCTCCCGATGCCGTGCAGGGGGATCCAAAGGTGCCCAGGTCAGGTGCCCCCTCGGCCCTGCTAGTTTTGGCACCTGGGCGCTACCGCAGCAGCTGCACAAACTGCACCGGAGGTTCGGCCGCATGCTGAAAGGAGAATTTACAACTGAAGCACAGTCCCTGAATAATGCTGTGCTGGGCCCGCGGAGGGGAAGGGGCTGAGCCAGGGCGGGGTGATGGGAAACCTTCGGCTTCGCAACTGTTTATGCAAGAAGTAAATCACTTTCATTAATAGTGTGCATGTATGGGAAGGAAAAAGAGGGATGTAACTGGCAGGGAAGGATGTTGCCTGGGTGTTTCAGGTTTATCCAGAAAGAAAGTTGCACCAATTTAACTAAAGGAGGGGATTTAAGCAGACAGCCTGCTGGGGAGTTTGTTCGGAGTTGAATGCACTTGTAGGAAGGGTGACAAAACCCCGACAGCAATTCTTAGAAGAGTCTTTAAAAATAAGGTGGCACAGCCTCCTTGCAAAGACTGTAGGGACCGTGGGGCCAGCGCGGGCCATGTCACTGAAAGACCTTGAACCCTCCCCAAGCGACCCCATCCAGGCAAACCCACCTGCCGCCCGCTACAAATCCCCTGGGCCGCACAGCGGTGCTCGTCCCCGTGCTCCCGCTCCCAGCCCCGTAGCACCTACCTCCCCGAAATGCCTCCCGAACTGCCCGCCATGCCTCCAGAGACGGAGCATCCCCCACTCCCCGAGGGGCTGC